GCTTTTAACCATTGCTCCTGCTCAGAAGGATCTAGGAGTAATGAAGATAGTTTGAGATTGAGAAACTGTCTCTAATTCTTAGTTTTTTACTTGTTTTAGGATTTGCAGTCATTTGCATGTTACTATTTCTATCTTAACATTTTATTTAAAACTTAACTTTTGGTTTCATGATAGCCTTGCCCAGTATGAAAAATGTAATGTTACGTTCCAACACTTGTTTCATCACCTGGTTGGATTCCCACATCAGTGTATTTTTGCAATTTTTATTTGTATCTGAATTTTTATGGCCACTGACTTTTTAGAAGTGCTTAAAGTTCTTCTGTGATAAGTAAATACATTTGGTTATGCTGTCAACTCTAAAATTTTCAAACTGTAAAATTTATTTTGTAAAATATCCTTCATTATTTATGAGACCATTTAATGAGTTTCTTGTGCTAAGTATCTGTAGGGTGCTTGAAAGGAAGTTTTTACTACAGATCTAAAATTGTTTTCTTTTTAAAATCTTTCATGGTTGAAGTAGAATATAAACGCAATCTTCAAATTTAGATCAATTTTAGCCCTGGATTAAATTTTAAATACATAATTGGTAACTAAAAGCTTGCAGTAGAGCAAGTTTCTGTAACAGTATTTGTAGTGTTCCAGTATGTGCTCTATTAAAACTTTTCAACATTGATCCATACGTGCAGTTTAGTGAATTTATTACCAAAAAGCCTGGTTAAAATTTTGGCTCTTCTGGATGTACTGGGAGATCTATCAAAAATTCCCCAAAGTGGTGAAAACCTTTTTCATTTATTTCTCTTTATGACAAGTGCAAACTATTAAGGTTAAGTGGGTGGGGCAACTGGAAGTAATTACTAAGGCCAGTGGCATTTTTGTGGTTTAATAAAGGCAGAAGCTAATTATTCAGTTTTTATTTAAGTGAAATGGTGCCAAAAAGGAGGTTCCTGCAGAGCAGCTGCACTCCTTCAGTGTTACCCTAATTTACCAAAGACACAACTGTCACAAACAAAACTTTTAAACTTGATATATAGCCACAAAAGTAAGGAGGCTTTTGTTTGGAGTGCATGCAGAAGAACTCCTTTATACAAATCAACCGGCAGATGACGGACAATGATGAAAATTTGATTCTTTGAAGTCATAATAGTCATTGAAATGTGTGAAATTCTGGTATTGAAAAGAGAGCGACCAGCAAGACTCTAAATCCTGGGTGGTTGCAAGAAGCTTGCTGGGAGGTTTTTCTGCATTTTGACACCAACTTCCCATTGCTTGTTCCCTGCTTCCTTTGTTAAAAAAAAAAAAAAAAAAGTCGAATTCACACAACATAAATGGGGACAGTTGATAACCGAATCATACAGTTTTTATATGGAAAACTAATATTTTATAATGGAAATTGGTATTTGAAAGAATAAAGTTCATTTACATGTGCTGGCATATACTCCCTTAATGATCTTTTAAATTCCTCTTCCATTTAACTAGACTTGTGAAAGAGAAAGTCAGCTGTAAGCTCTTCCAGAATTTAAAATTGTGGAAGAGATGGTGCTGAAAGAGTGGAACTTTGGAATTACGATATGCATCTTTTCAGTAGCAAATAATTGAATGCCCTTCAGTCTACAAATCATTAGTTATTGTTTCTTAAAAATGCATTATTGTACCTAAGATTGTGTTTGTGAAACTTAAAGATAGTGACATTCTTTAATATTTGGAATACAGGTTTTATGCTTGACTCATCTGTTTAAATATTAAAAGTTTTAAAATTCAGTAAATTAGTGTATGTTATCCAAAGGGTAACTTGATTTATTATTATTCATAGGTAATTATTAGCTAGTGAGTCTTAAGTTTCTTTAGGTAAAAACTTAAGGCTTCTTACTCATCCAACGTGATTTAGCTTTTTTTGTAGTCATAGAAAATTATGAATTGTTACTTATAAATATTTTACCAATAAAATGAGAAATCTATAAAAGGCAATATTGACATCTTCAAAGCATTTGTATCTTTTATAAAACCACAGGTGATCCATATCGCAATACCAAAGTTGAAATCTAGAGATAATGTCTTTGGTTCAGTACAGTTTAGTTTGCTGATGTTTTATTTATTTATTTTGTGGGAGAGCAAAGAATTCAAAACACAAGTAAGGATTTCAACATAGTGCCTCATAGTTCTTTTCAAGTATTACATTTTTTTTTCAAGTATTACATTGTTTTAATGGAATCTTGGAGTGGGAGCTTTTAGCCCATTGAAATGTCGCTTAAAGGACAGGTTCTTCTGTCACTAGCTGAAGCTGTGTGGATGAAATGGTAACAATAGTGTCGTAATGCATTTTAAAAGTGTGAGAAATCAGTTTGTCTAGACTAAGAGTGTGCCTACAGGGACTAGGAATTTTAGAGCTTCTGTGCCCTTTAGGTGTCAAGTATGTGAGAGATGCCAAGCCTTTTCATCCTCAGTCTTTGGCAGCGGCTCAACTCAGGCTGCAGTACCTTACATGTCTTCTGCAGGCAAAAACAGGGATTCTGTGTCAGGACAACTTAAGCTTCAAAATTCAGGAACTTATTTGTGCCAGTGCCAGCTTTAAATTGGGGAGTGATATCAATAAAAAAAAATGCCATACTTTGAGAAGCCCTGGAAGCACTGATAGTTGTTCAAAATAAAAAGAGCTTAGCAACATTTTGTAGCCACTTAAGAGAGATTTTCCATCCTAAAAAAAAACCATTGTCCTTTTCTATGTTAATAGTACAAATCAAGAAATGCTATTTCCTTTTTGAAAAGTTTTTTAAAGTTATTTTGGCATATATACATCACAATATAGGAGGTTATAAAGGAAAAGTAAATGTTTCCTATAATCTCATCTTCCTGAGCTAATTAGTGCTGAGTTTAATACATTTCCTTTCCTGTAAGTCTTAAATAGTAGCTAACTGATAGCTTTAGTTTTTATGACCTCACTGTGGAGAGTTTGCTATGGAATTTGGACATGCTGCCTCACCATGTAATTTTGTAACACACTTACATTGTTTATATCCCACTTCAACTCTCGCTGAGAAAATATGAATTTAATATAAAGATATATAATATTAAATAATATAATATGACCCATTGTTTTGGACTTCCCAGGAGTCTCTTTAAGCTCTTGAGTAGAGAAATATGCTTCAGAAAGTCATAAAATATCATCATACTTGGGGCGCCTGGGTGGCTCAGTCGTTAAGCGTCTGCCTTCGGCTCAGGTCATGATCCCAGAGTCCTGGGATTGAGCCCCGCATCAGGCTCCCCGCTCCGTGGGAAGCCTGCCTCTCCCTCTCCCACTCCCCCTGCTTGTGTTCCCTCTCTCGCTGTGTCTTTCTCTGTCAAATAAATAAATAAAATCTTTAAAAAAAAAAAATATCATCATACTTGAAATTTCTTTGAAATTGAACTTGACAATTAAAACTTACCGGTTAAAACTTATATTATTCATGGGCGCCTGGGTGGCTCAGTCGTTAAGCGTCTGCCTTCGGCTCAGGTCATGATCCCAGGGTCCTGGGATCGAGCCCCGCATCGGGCTCCCTGCTCGGCGGGAAGCCTGCTTCTCTCTCTCCCTCTCCGCCTGCTTGTGTTCCCTCTCTTGCTGTGTCTCTGTCAAATAAATAAATACAATCTAAAAAAAATAAAACTTATATTCATATGTTTAAAAATTATGAACCAGTTGCACTTATTTTGCTTTTATCTTGTATGCAAAGAAACTTTTTAAAAGGTACATACTAGAAGTACATATTTGTATAAATATTTATATGGATTATTTTGGTAGTTTCTCCAAACAGACAAGCTGTGACAAAATAACCACCCCTAATTAATTATTGGTGCAGGTAGAAAGGTATTGTGTTAAGCAGAAGATTGAATGCCAGCTAAAATAACTTTAAACAATTTTTTAAAATCCGTGAGTAGGAAGACTAGTGCAGTCAGAAATACACTTAGTATTTTCCCAGTACATATTGCAGCACCAAGTAGTAACACTAATTATTTGGTCCATAGCACTGTTTAGGGTAGGACTATAAATAAACATTAAGTCGTCTTTAGCAGATATGTTACAATGAAATTGAAATTCACAAAATTTTCTGGTCTTCACAAATTTGGTATCATATTCATGTTAACTCTGTTGTTTTTCACCAGTTATTTAAAATTTACTTTAGTAAGTGAACCATGATGCTATAATAATCTTACTTTGATCAAATAAAGTATTTCTACCATTACTGAATAGAGATTTAAACTCTGAATTACTTTACTATTTTGTGTCCTGATTGCTACTATGTTTGATAAATAGGTCTAATCTGGGGCATCAAAATTACATGCATTTATCAGTTGAGTATTTGTTACTGGATAAAATTATTTAAAAAAAAGAGTCAAAGTTACCATTGTTTTCATTTCACATTTCTGCAAAAATTGTGTAACTTTTTGGCTTACTTTTTCAGAACAGATTTGATGTATCATTTTCTTTTCAGTAGATTTCACCAAAGGGAGATAAAATGCTAATTAAAGTTTTAATTGATTTTGTTTACCAAAAGGCTTAGGCCTTCCTCTAAAGGAGATGTCTTGTAAGCAGTTTGACACAGAAATAACTGGTAATAGATTCTTTTCTACTTAAAAGTTACTAATTTTTTATATCTCCTTACTTTTAATATCCATTCACATTTTTCTCTGCTTACTAGTTACACCAGCTCATGAAATAAGAGTCTACTGATGACAGGCTCTTCTATCAGCAAACTCTTCAGAAATTACCAAAGCTTTGTTGGACAGAAGGGACCTAATTTTTTTTTTCATGAACCCTTTCCCACTGTATCCTAACACTCCTCCCAGTATACCTTTTCCAGATATCAAAATAGTAATTTATAGGGTGAAACAGTAGAGTAGTGAAGTCAGAAAGCTAAAAACCCCAGTTTATAAATCTGAATAGAGTTGCATGGATATAAAAAGCAGCAAAAATACATCAGAGTGCATATGGGCTGTTAGAAATATGTTTGCTTGTTTTTCTGTAGGATATCACTACTTTAACTGGTGTTCCAGAAGAGCATATCAAAACTAGAAAAGTCAGGATCTTTGTTCCTGCTCGCAATAACATGCAGTCTGGAGTAAATAACACAAAGAAATGGAAGATGGAGTTTGATACCAGGGAGCGATGGGAAAATCCTTTGATGGGTTGGGCATCAACGTGAGTACTTTGGTTTAATTTGAATATTGTTTTCTGCTCTTTGTAGATTTTCCTTATAAATATATTGAAGTGTAAACTTTTTCATGTATAGTATGCTTTGATAGTACTTTGTGAGGCCATTTGTGTAGGTATCATGTTCAGTGACAGACATATATATTACATTTACATGTATATATATTTAGTATTCATGTAAGTGTGACCCAGCACAATAAATCCTAGAAACAGTCTCTTCAGAGTACTATTTATTGGATGAAATGGCTGACAGTTTGAACACTGTTAGCATGGTCCCAAATGATGTATATTAGTTTAAGATATGATGTGTGAATAGTGTTAATAATTTAATAACACTTATATTTTTTTTGTCGTTGTTTGTAAGGACAAGAATTTAGAAATTAGCTATTTTGAGGGAAACTTGTAAGTTCCTGAGATCTTGTGATTAACAAATTTACAGTGCATTGGAATAAAGTGGTTTTAAATCCTGTGGCACCAATGAAGTAAGTCAGTGACCTAAATCTCTGTGGTGGAATAAAACTCAAATAGCAGGACTACCTCTAGCTGAATAAAAGCTGCTGCGGGGCGCCTGGGTGGCTCAGTCATTAAGCGTCTGCCTTTGGCTCAGGTCATGATCCTAGGGTCCTGGGATCGAGCCCTGCATCTGGCTCCCTGCTCGGCGGGAAGCCTGCTTCTCCCTCTCCCACTCCCACTGCTCATGTTCCCTCTCTCACTGTCTCTCTCTCAAATAAATAAATAAAATCTTTAAAAAAAAAAAAAAGCTGCTGCTACTAGAGAAAATAACCAGATAAGCTAGAAAATTATCAGTCTTGTTGAGACTCCTGGAACACTTTGTGTCCAGTCTGCAGTTGAAAGTGGTTATCCATTTTAATTATGTCTAATTTTAGAAAAGTATGATATTTAACATCTTTTCTTATCAAAGTACCTGGGAGAGTTTTTGTTAAAAACGTCTGTCATGCTGCAATTTAAATAGAATTATAGGGGCACCTGGGTGGCTTAGTTGGTTCAGCCCCCACCTTTGGCTCTGGTCATGGTCCCAGAGTCCTGGGACTGAGCCCCATGTTAGGCTCCCTGCTCAGCAGGGAGTCTGCTTCTCCCTCTGTCTCCACTCATGCTTACTTGTGCGTGCTGTCTCTCTCAAATAAATATAAATCTTTAAAAAAATAAATAGAATTATATTTTATTTGGCAAAATATAGGCCCAGTTTTTTGGGTGTCCATACTCAGTGTTTGAAATGTCATGATTACTCTTTTTTTTTTTTTTTAATTTTATTTATTTGAGAGAGAGAGAGTGAGCATGAGCAGGGGGGAGGGAGAGGGAGAGGCAGACTCCCCTCTGAGCAGGGAGCCCAACGTAGGGAAGGTCTTGATCTCAGGACCTGGGATCATGACTTGAGCTGAAGGCAGATGCTTAACTGACTGAGCCACCCAGGGCCTGTGAAATGTCATAATTACTCTTTCAGTCACATGAGATTTTAATGTTTTCTTCTATATGCAAGACTCATCCATTGTACTATTTATTGATGGCATTTGGGTAGTTTTGTTAATAAATTTAACGATCAAATTGGCTTTATTCAGCAATTTATGAATCAGGCAGGATCCCATCTAGCTAATAGAAAGGAGCTCTAAAGAACTATACAAAATGGATACTTGGGCTTGTTTGTTTAATTTTATTTTTAAGTAGTCTCTACACCTGGCATGGCATTTGAACTCAACAACCCTACGATCAAAAGTCAGTCACATTTCTACTGACTGGAGCCAGCCAGGCACCCCCAGAATAGAAGACTTTTATTGGCAGAAGGGGTAGAGACAAGGAAAACACAGATCACATCATCTTTCTTGGGGACAGAAGGGGTCTTTTGGATGGATTACCTCACTATTGTTGACTAGGAAATTCTAGGATTGACTAGTTTTAAGATTACATTTCTGGGAGAGGTTGAAACTACACTTAGGTTAGGTATGAAGTCTTGCTTTGTTGATGAGAGGCTTAGCATAAGTGACTCCATTTTAGGCCAATTTTAATTTTTTTTTTTAACAATCCTCCCCCCGCCCCATTTGGATTAGACTCTTAGCTTAACTGAGAGATATGATTAAAATTTAAGGCATTAGCATTACTCCCAGCTAGCACTTTGAAGTTCTCACAGCTTTTGTTGATCCTTTGTGTGGTATTCATAGGTCTTGATCTCTTTGACAGACCCCAGCTTCAGGTTCATAATTTTTAAGTTGGTCATTCTTTTTGATGTTTCAGTCTTAGGGAGATCATTTGCTTCAGTGGGTAGAGGCTACGAATATGCATTTAAAGCCTTAGAGAATAAGGCATGCTAGGGAAGACTAGTATGATTATAATAAGCTAGATAATTCCCATTGTTTGGATTGGATTTTAAAACCATGGTCTCCAAGACTCAAACCAATCAAAATCAATTAAGTCAAAGAAAGACTCCATGGAAGGAGTCACCTTTTTACACCAAGTGGCTTTCTTAGTGATCTTACGTAACTGAGTTTCAACTTCCTCAGAAGTGGTAATCCATAGCAGGTGGTGGTGACCAGGGAAGTAGAGTCCTGCCAAAGGAAGTGAATCCTGAGCCTCCCAAAAATTCCCATTTTAATCTGTGGCTCCAGACTGGAAAGGTGACAGACGTGGAAGCCAGTAATATTTTAATGGTCTGTAGACCACACAGGCAGTTTTATTCTGGTTACCCTTGCCTGTGACCCTTTCTTTATATAGAGCCTGGATGCAAAGTTCCCCAAGTTTTGAGGTTTTTAACAAAAGACAGGGAAATGGACCAAGGGGTCTCTAGTATATAGATTACAGTTTTTGATGACAAAAAGAGAGGGCTTTGGTTAAAGTATAAAGTCTTTGATTTGATGTCTTGAGAGGAAAGAGCATACATTAATGTCACTTCTCTTCTTCAATTTGATTTGAAGGTTTCCAGTGTTTTCACGGGATTAGATATTAAGCAAAGCCTTTTTAAGCTGTGAAATATATGCCTGAGGTTCTAATCCTTGCAGTTTGCCATCTAGGTGGTGAGGAGGAATTGGTATAGCCCCTTCCAAGGAGATTCAAGGGCAGTCTTTGTTCTTAGTGGTTCCAAGGGTGGGAGGAAATTGAAAATATTACTTTGGAGAGTTGTAGCCAGATATTTGAGGAAACTAGAAAAATTCAGGATCTAGTCCAGTTTACAGGCATATAACAAAACCTCAAAAATAGTTAAAAGAATGAGAATCTAACATTTAAAAGGTGCAAACAGGGGCGCCTGGGTGGCTCAGTTGTTAAGCGGCTGCCTTCGGCTCAGGTCATGATCCCAGGGTCCTGGGATCGAGCCCCACATCGGGCTCCCTGCTCGGCGGGAAGCCTGCTTCTCCCTCTCCCACTCCCCCTGCTTGTGTTCCCTCTCTCGCTGTGTCTCTCTCTGTCAAATAAATAAATAAAATCTTTAAAAAAATAAAAAAATAAGGTGCAAACATTATCTTACTCTCTACAATGAACTTCACTTTTTTTTTTTTAAACCAAAGATAATCACAGTAAAACTAACTTGTTTGCAGTAAACTTGGCCTGATTGTTTATGTAAGTGCAGTGATAATAGTGACTGATCGTATAAGCTCTTTTTGAAGACTGCTTTGCTGGAATTTTTCATAAGGAATCTTTGAACTCTCAAAAGCTCCTAAGGGACTGGCCATCAGATCTTGCAAAACCATTCCAGTCAAAGCCTCGGTGATATGGCCAGTATTTCCAGTTGTGTCTTCTTAAAAGGAGAACAGATTTTTATTTAAGTTATGTAAATAATTAACTATATTACTATGAAAAGAATACTGTTGGGTGCCTGGGTGGCTCAGTTGGTTAAGCAGCCAACTCAGGATCTCAGCTCAGGTATTGATGTCAGGGTTGTTCAAGTCCTGCTTTGGGCAGCACATTGGGCATGGAGCCTACTGAAAAAAAAAGAATACTCAAGAATTTCATATTTACAAAGGCATACTTCACCAAATTGTTGTAAGTCATAAATAGTTTAAGATAAAAAGTTTTGCCAAATCTGGAAAAACAAAACATTAAAGAACCAGCAATTTTTCAAACAAGAAATGATAAAAATTAAAATTTCCTCATTCAGTCCCATGTTATTAAATCTTTATTTTTTTCAGTAGGCTCTATGCCCAACATGGGGCTCAAACTCAACGGTCCTAAGAGTCTCATGTGCCCCAACCACCATGTCATGTATTCTTAAATCCAGTTTTTTCTAATAGTTCTGGAAATTCCTACCCAGTTCAGTTTTATGATTTTAGTTATCAGAAACTTTTACTAGTCATGGCACCTGGCTGGCTCAGTCAGTAGAGCATACAGCTCATGATCTTGGGGTTCTAAGTTTGAGCCCCATGTTGGGTATAGAGATTACTTAAAAAAATAAAAATCTTAAAAAAAAGAAACCTGTACTTGTCAAAATCCTTCCCATGAATCTCCTTGAAAATGTAGCACTTTTGCAGTAACACTTAAGTATCAGAGTAAAACATCTCTCTGAATTGACAGAAGAGTTAAAAATGTCTGTGATTAAAGATCTGACATGAGTGCTCGCTTCGGCAGCACATATACTAAAAAAGATCTGACTATGAGTCCCTTATAATGGAATTGACAAGGAATTTGGGTGTTTTTGTGTTACACAACATTTTAAGATAATAAGTGGAATGATGAATGATAACATACGAGGACATCAGATTTCTAAGAATTTCATATAATTTTTAGAACACTTATAATACATACCTATATAAATACAACATAAAGAAGCCTTAATATTATTTTATTTGACAATGCTTATCCTGTCATTTAACATACCAAATAAGCCTAATTAGTTTAACATCTCTCTCTTTATAAGGAGAGAATATAAATCTTTTCCAATTTTCCAGGGACCCTCTAGAAAATCCTAAATTTAATTCAAAGTCAAAAATACTTATTTGAAGTTTGATTTGTGGGAAGTTGATCAAAAATATCATAGGTTAAAAAAC